CAATTCACCTTTCAAGGGAAACAAGGTTTCTTGGACCAACAGGTTGGCCAATCCGATCGAGACTACCTCCAAGCTTGCTCGCAGAGTTTGCCTTTCCAATTCCTGGCGCCCATCTTAGCCGCATCTCCCGGTGCAAGTGGCACGTTGCAAGCTGAAGAGGTAGATATGGCCGTGCGCTGCCACATTTCATAGCAATCCAAACAGCCATTGTGGGAGTCTCGCTTTGGGCAAGAACCCATTGTTTGGGTGTCATGTTTGGTTTGTGAGGAAGTATTGTACTCGGCTTCTTTTGTATCATGCGGCCTAAATCTGATTTTGAGCATTGAGAGCTGGTGGGAAGCTTGGACAGCTGAAGGGCGAAAAAGCATTTTGGTACGCAAGTGTCTGAAGGACTTCATGTTCGGGCGACCAAAGGCCAACACCCAGGGAAGGCAACTTCATGACAAGCGCTTAGCTTGGCATAAAGAGGGCCCGAAAGGTTTGGGGCGCGGCGTCAGCACATCCCCACAGCTTGGCCGGCGAAGAACAACAGCTGTAGCGCAAGAAGCAATGCTCTAATGTTGATCCCGGATCAAAAAAAACCTGTTTCTTAATATGGGGATTCATAACTTTTGGAGGGGAACACCCCCATATTAATGAACAGGGGTGTATTAATCCGGGGTCAGCATTGCTGCTTCTACTGCTCCTGAACGTATCTTTTGAGAACGCTGTTATTTTGTGGGTGCTTCCATACCCCAGTCCAAAACCTGTCCCCAACCCCCGGCGCAGCCCGTCCACGAAGGATGCGCCGCTGAACCTCGGCAACTCAGACCTTGATGCCAACTGCCGCTGCCTCCTTTGCCCAGTTGCCCAGCGCCCCCGGTGGAGAAACAGGAGCCATACGGCTGTAGTTGTCAAAACCGTTTTGGATCCCATTTTGGTGAATAAGGCGAATTCACCACCCATTTTAAGTTTCTATTTTAGTGGGGGTTGGGATGTTCACTACGGGATTTTGACACATGGCCATATTTCTTGGGGTTGATAAACCACAGGACACCATACCAAGCTTATACCCTAGTCATCCAATGAATGCGGCAACCCTAATATACCCGGATCCCAACAGAATCGTCTGCAATGTTTACTATTCCAAAAGCTGACTTAAGAATTGGATCCTAAGTGTTCAGGACATGTATCATGGCTTTCGCTCATCATACCCCCGAATTGCTGAGCTCGCAAGAGGCAAATAGTTGCGTTCCAAGTAGCATGGCCGCGTCCAAGCTCGCCATGGCTCTGGCCGACAATGCCCCAATGGCTAGCAAAATGCGCGAAGCAGAGCTTCCGAACGTGCGTCCGCGGACGCTAATGCGCGGTGGACGCGTGACGTAGCCTATGATCTTCATCTGGGAACTGTTTGGTGGACATCAGTCACCCGCGGCACTATAACGAAACATGTTTGAGGATATTCCGCCCTAAAATGCATAGCACAGCAAGGGATGTTCAAGCGCAACAGCCATCCCCTTTTTGACAGACCACGTTGTTGGCAGTCTGCCGCGCCCATCATCCATTGTCAGTGCTCGCGGTCGTAACTGAACACAAAGTATTGCGAACCCACAGGTCTTCCCTTGTTGGATCTTTTGGGGCCTTTTGCATCCAAGAAAACGCTCCAAAGACCGCCTAGGGACTATCGCCAGTTGGGATGGATGAAACCCCAGAATACTGGGATAAATGATAAACCGCCTGCCAACTGGTGAAATCCATCCATCGGAAGCTGTGGCTTCTTTTCTTGCGGCGCCTGCAGTTTAGCGGCACATGCAAGCCAGGCTCTGAAAACGGAGCTCCGCATGTGTCAAAATAGACCTTGCCTTTCTGCAAGCCTGGGGTGCAAGTCCAAATTCGTGAAACAGTGACACGCAGCTAACCCCCTTTGCGGCTCTAGTGGGGGTGCTGAGACGACATGCGACGCGGTAGGCCACTTGAACTAGTGAGCTGTGCGTTAACTCCGCCAGATCCCAGGCGAGCCGTTCTATTTGGTTTTGCCAGGGTTCCCTTGGTTACCCTACCGGGGCAAGGGAAAATAACTTACTGCTAACTCGAAGAAAGGAACCTGGAATCAAGGTGTTTGTTTGGATGGCAGTTGTCTAATTTGGCAAATGAAAAGACCCAGCCTGAAGCCAGCAACTGTTTCTAACCCAAACTGACGCAAGGACCCCAGTGCCAAGGAATCTCGGCATGACCATTGCTTGCTGCAACCTCCGCGACACATTCATGGCGATCTACCGCTTCTTCACCATCACTGCTGCTAGCCGGTCTTGTTGCTCTTGATCGGAGTAGTAAGACCTTACAGACGCAACCGCAGGTTGGGCGACCGAGGGGCAAACACAAAGTCCCATGCCTGGTTGAGTGGAAGATGCAGTCCAAATGACAAATTCTCAGTGGGGTTGCAGGGTGGGCTGCCAAGCGGCAACAAGCATCCCCAGCCAGCCCCATGCAGGCTTCAGAGCACCCCCGAGAACAGCACCCCGCGGGACATCTCACTTTGAAGCGACCGAATCTGACTTCTGGGGTGCCTAATTTAGCCCAAGGGTGCCCCAAAGGCAAATATACAATATTTCCGGTTTGGTTACACGTCTTTCGGATGAATCCGCAATGTGCAGGCAAGCAACGAGGCTTTCCAGCCATGCTGCCTGTTTCAATTGGGATTTTCCAAGATGTTGAAAGCACATGTTCACAAGGAACACTGAGAACCAGGAGCCCACAAGTGGGGTGCATCTACAAGGAAACCATCAGCAGGTTTGGTGTCCCCCGTCTTGTTTTTGGAAATTTGCAAAATGGCAACATCATGGTTTGATCCTTCCAATGGAATTTGTTCCCTCGCAAAAGTTCTGTGAGGGCTGGCTGATTCACATAGTACCCATTGCCCACCTTCAATGACAGGTGTTCCGCATGAAGAACCCCGAAATTTCAACCACTAAACCTCAAAACGGAGGTTACATCATGAGGCACTCGCTGAGTTCTGTTCTCTCTCTTTTTGTTTTTTCTTTTTCGCGAAATCCTAGGCAAAGGGCTGGTTGGTGTTGTACATCCGCATCACGTCCACGCTGCCCTGGTCATCCCCCGCCTTGGTGCGTGCCAGGGGTCCGGTCCGGCGAATTGTTTCAAACTGGCTGGGAAGGCGAATTGCATCCAAGGAGAATTCGCCAGAGTTGATGTCCAACAGGTTCAACTTGAAAGCACAGAGAACAACTTCCACTATCCCATTTGTGTTAACCAACCTCATGTGGAAACGCATGCTCGAGGTCTCTAAAGTAAGTGCAAGTCTTGTGGGGTTTTTGGCTCGCCCAAAACACTTCTCAGGCTGGGACCTGTTGGATTCTCCTCTCCCCAAAAAAACTGGGGACACGGCGCTCTTGAGAAGGAAATCGCCTGAAACTTGGTCAACATTCAAACCAAAACCTAGGATTTATATCTTTTCTTTGCTCGGCAAAGATGTAAGATGGTCCAGGAGCGCCTTTCTTGGTGCAAGCCCCTCTTCGAGCCCTGCCCGGAAGCAATCTCAAACAACTGAAAACCGACCAAACCAACCAACCAACCAGCCAAGCCAAGCCAAGCCAAGCCAACCGACCAGGCCCTAGAGGCCAAGGCCCTGGGGCAAAGCAGCAAACACACCCACGCACATCTTCCTCGTGGCATCAGGCCAAGAAAGGAGCAACTATCCCCTCTCCCCGTCTCATAGTCTCACGCAGGCTTGCAGCTGTTCAATGAACCCCGCTTCAGTGGCCATGGAACAAATGGCAGGCAGGGCTCTCCGGCCATCGACCTACCACAGGGACATTCGCTGTAAACTTGAATGTTTGAGCCGCCCTGTGATGCGGGCATCCTTTGAACTTATGCCTGCATCGACTTGTGCATGCATAAACCTCTGTAAAGAAGACTTACGTCCAACCATGTTTGCCATATCTCCGCTAGAAACTCCTAGCAATGCCTGCACACCAGAGCGTACACCTCTCAGGCAGCACCCGCCGAGCGCACACGGCTTTTCTGACGCAGCGCCGGGAAGCGGCAATCTGAGCCGTGACAACCCGAAGCAGCTCATCCTACATACCTCGATCCTGGAGGTGAAGAAGCATGCATGGGGCATACGCGAAGAGTAAGGATCTTCGAAAAGGCTCGGTTGACATGTTCCATAATGATGGACTCTGGCGCAGCGCAATCCTGCGCAGCAGGAGCTTGCCTTCCCTCTCCTGCTTTCCCACTTGCACAGGGGCCCAAGAGTTGAGCTCCGTCTACATACCACAGAGCGTCTTTTGGTTACCATACGTTTCCATGCTCAGGCTATTCAGCAGGCGAAGGGCGCAGGAGAGGGACAATCCTGTCAACTTCCTCGATGCCATTTGGCACTGTGGCAATCCATCCTGTGCCGCCTTCGGCCCTATCTGTCGTCAACCCCATTCAAATATATGGTCCCCACTTTTGACACGCACAAGGTCGAATGGCCAGCCCGCTTTTCGCTTCTCAATTTCCTCACGTCACGCCACATGTTCTTCTGCTTGGGCCCGCCAGCCGTCTCCCAATCCAATTGGCGAACAGAATTCAAACTTGTCTGGACCCCGTGAAAGTCGTCAACGTGGGTTTTCTCAAGGAAGCTCATTCTGTCCCTTGGGTGGATTCGAAATACACATCGCGTTGTGTCTATCAAATATGTGTACCTGGGGTTCAAACCACCATTGAAGCAAAGGGGGTTCATATCGCAACCATTGTTTACCTAAGAATTGTCATCCAGACTGGCTCAACCATTCTTTTCATGGGGGGGTGAACCCTAGGGTGTGGTTGCCGTGTTTGTCCTCATAGGTGTCCTTTTGGGGCAAATACATGGCCCTGGTACATGATTAAACCACCAGGTAAACCAGGAATCGCCATCTATGTTTCTACCGAAACAACCAAAAAGGACACCTCTGCCCTTTGGGTTTTCAAATGCGGCATGCTTGAACAGAATGATTGAGCGGAATCATTAATTCTTTGGTTGACTCATTCATGGGGGTGCCCAATGCTTGTCCTTCTTTTCTCGGCAGGCGCTTGCCCCCATGCTAAAACCGCCGCCTCACACCGCGTCCGCCGACAAAGAGGAGGAGCCTCCGCCGCGGCCGCGGCTGCGGCCCCGCCTGCGCTCCTCCAAGGTGACCTCTGCGCGCTTCCTGGGCGATGCTCCCCAGCTCCCCAGGCTCCAACCCCCGTGAAAAGAATGATTAAATGATGATAACCCCGAAGTACAGAATGGTGGTTATATATGAGCCCCCTTTTGTGTCCATGGTGGTTTGAACCCAAAGGATTTGACTAGTGTTAACCCCGGAATAATAAACCTCTGTTTAGAAATATGGGAATGCCCCCCCTTAATAACCAACAGGGGTTGATCATGGTGTCAACATTCGTCCACTCGGACCGCTTGAGTTATGACTACGGCTCGCATCAAGAAACTTACCGCGCGATGAATATCTTCCACCAACTTGTTTGGTTAGGAGGGTACTGGGAGCCCAGGAGCAAACCTAAGGAATTAGAACACAAGGGGCCGCGGGCGAAAAAGAAGCCGGCAACCCTTAGATTATTTTCAGAATCCTGGTTGATCCATAGGGGGAGCAAGCCACTTAAGAGAGGATCCGAATCACGATCGAGGGGAACTTTGGCCCCTTTTTCAATTCCGCAAGTTGAGAAATTCGGGCCGACAAATGTCATGGAAAGCCTTCACCCGCAGGCGTGAAAATGGATAAATGGCTGGGCATCCAACACAATTCTGGTACACGAAGCCACTTGCGGAGACTCTGCTTTCCATTGTGCAGACTGAATTCAACCCACACCCCAAACCACCAAACACCCGGTTGGCGCTCAAACCTGGTCCTCAAAGCAAAAACCACAACCAAACCACCAGACTTTCAGCCCCAAAGGGAACCCAACCAACCATACCTCAACCTCCTAGCGCCCCCTTAATCTAACCTACATACTTTGACCAACCATCAACCCATGACCGATCTGCCACTTCCCCTCTTAATGGATACCTGCACTGATACCATGCCCTTCCATGGGTACAGGAGGCCTATGACTTTCTTAGTTCCGCCGGAGAGCTTCCACTCCTCAGGCACCAATAAAGTTATTCCCATGCTTGACCCCCTTATACCCCCAGCTGTCAAGGGAGCCTCTAATACGACTACGCCTCTCCATTGACTTGCGGTGCAGATTTAAAGCCTTACTTTAGCCCTCACAAACTCAGGTAGTAGAACCACCTTCTGCAAGGCTTGCTTGCCGTATTCGACGCCATGTAAATTAGAGGCGGGTTGGAGGGGTGCTTGCTATGTTCGTTCGGCAACTCAGGCCTCCCCCTGGCTCGAGTACAGCAATACCGTGCGCGCCCCCGTTTAAGGGGGAGCACTGGCCGCATGCCTGCAAAGCTGAGGGCAAATCTCTACACCAGACACCGGCCTTGATAGAGTTTTGTAGGACACGCCTTGTTTGGGGGTTTAAAGGGAAACTTTCGTGGCTTTCAGAAAACCACCATTCTGGGGGGACCATCTTCTTTAGAGGCAGTAATGACAAGCCAAGCTGTCAAGTTTGGCGGTGCCCTTTTTGGGGTTGCAATTTGAACACACCCAAAAAGGTTGTTCCCATGAGAATGCAGACGCCTCTGACACCTGCTGAGAGAGCCATAGATATCTTAGTAAGATTCCACGATTGATCCACAAATGCCATTGACAATCCTACCAGATTTGTTGCTTTGTTGGACTTTGCTGGACTAATGGCACCTGATGAAAAGGATCTTGTTGGACCAGCTTCCTCTAAGACGGACCCATTGAATTTCTCACTGGTCCAAACCCAAAAGCATAATGTTGACCCCGGATCAACAAAACCCATTTCTATTCATATGGGGTGTCCCTGGTTGTGGGGATTCCTCACTTTCAGAGGGGCCCCCAGCACCTCCCCCACCCCCACCCCCCCCCCCAAAAAAAAAAACAGGTTGATTCATTCATCCGGGGTCAACATTGAAGTCCATCAGCTCAGGGAATGAGAGTTGCTGAAAATTCACCTCCTGAGTGAGGAAGGGCCAAAACAACTCTGAACTTTTTCATTCACCACTAAACTGGTCCAAACCCAAAAACAACTTCAAGTTCATGAGCTCAGGGAGTTGCAAGAAATCGTCCCAACCCAAAGACATCTTAAAGTCCCCAAACAATCCAACCGACCCCACCCCTTCAGCTCCGAGCCGCGCCCGCGGCAGGTTCTTCCGCACCCAGCGCCTCACCGCCAGCCGCGAGCGCGAGCTGAAGAGCAGCGCCCCGGAGGGTGCCAGCACGCGGAAGCTGAGGCGCTCCTCCGCGCGCGATCCGGTCGCTTTTGGGGAAGTTTCCGTTGGGATTACCCTCAAATAAGCCCACATGTGGGATTACCTAAAAATAAGGGGATCTTCCTTTTCGGAGTACACCCTAGGACAATTTATCCCAAATAAGCCCACGGAACCAGGTTGAATCTGGAAAGCTAGAATGGCGTGATTCCCCAGAGGGTGCAATCCCAGGGGGCCGGAAACCCTGGCTATCGTCGCTGAATAGGAACGTGTGTGGCTGGGTAACCCTACCAGCTCGAAAGAACTGGCCCCATTATCTTACCACTACCAAGGTCACCCTCTAAGCGGTAGGTTAGAGTAAAGCAGCCCAAATGTTCTGACTTTGAGAACTGAAACTGTCAAAATCATGACCTTACTGGTGGGTTTCAACAAGGTTGCCACTATTGAAAATCCGGAAAAATAGAAATGGAGGGACACCATTCCTACCAACCCCAACTCAGTTGCCCAGAGCACTAGCACCCAGAAATAACCGGCGATCACCCTTTGGGGCCCGGGAACAATCCAAAATTGGGAAACCAAGAGGTGAATTGGGAAACCAAAAGCTGAGCAAAAGAAACCCAGTAAGAAAAAAACAAAAGAAGGGGAAATGGAGGGACCCCACCCAACCAACCCCAAAACTCCAAAAGGAAACCGGCTTTTTTGGGGACCATGGCCATGGTCCGAGGCCTCTCTGCGCGTCTCGCTGTCTCGCCTTCTCCGGGCTGCGCTGTGAAGAGCTCCGTGGGCTCCGGGCGCGGTCCTGGAGTGGGGTGGCTCGACGGGGCGTGAAAAACCCGCGATTCATTCCAGCCTATTCACAGAAGTTTATGTATGTATGTACAAATAAATCAATATATATATATATATGTATGCACCCATTTGAAGCATACATACTAATAGTCACCTCGCACCCTTTACTTTTGATTCACCCAATGCACAACCAATACTATGCTTCTGACAGCCAGTCTGTGGATTGTAAACTCAACATATAAATTCCGGCTGGCTATTCCAAAGCAAGTGCCTGGAGCAACTCCATGCCAATTCCTTACGCGACGGTTTGCGATTTGGACAGTTGTTGCATCCAGCAAAGGGAGGACCCTATTTGGACGAGGACTGTAGTGGAACCCGTGGGAACCCCTATTCCCTGGGATCCTATTTTTAATAAAGCTCCCCTAACAAATAATACTCATTAGAAAGGGGGGCAGTTGATAATAAGGGGAAGGTGTGCTTTGCAAATGCCGCTTTTGACACGAACCGCGAACAGGGATTTCTTGTAATCAGAGCGCTGGCTTTTCCTTACACAAAGGGGTGGTTGTAATCAAGCTATCCAAGGACACGCACCCAGCCTCTCCGGTATCTTTAAACACTTTAAACACGTCGTTGGGGGTCTGCAAAGTTGCCATCCTGAATTGATGGCGCACCTAGTGAACAAGCAAATATGAACTTCGATTTGCCAAAGAAAGGACGGCTTGGGCAAATCTGCTCGTCTTTCTGCAGAGATCAGTCCTTGCAGCCAAAGGGAATAAAGCAACAGCGGTGGACAAACAACTAGGATCAATGCAGGGTTGAACCACGTGCGCACTTATCTTTAAACCATTCTTAAAAGACCAGATTTTGTTGGGAGACGCTTCTTTGTTTCCACCCCAAGCTATTGCCGCTGATGTCAAGTGGCTGGAAAGTCACGAAACGATGCTTGTGGGCTGGCTGCTGGTCTGGCCAAGCTAAAAACCACTTTGGAAGCGTGGTCCTTTCCCAGAAACCACGCAGAAGAAGGACACATGTGGGCGTGTTGGCTGAATTTCAAGGGAACTTACGTGTCGCAATGGGGAAAGGGCACCTCGTTCTACCCAACCCAGCTTGCTGGGCCAAAGCTTTGGCCATACCTGCCCAACCCAGCTTGCCGGGCCAAAGCTTTGGCCGTACCAACTGAACACAAAAAGTCACCGACAAATGAATCCGTCGGGACGCAACTTGTTTGCAACTATGGGCCCGCACTTGCCCAGTGACCCTTGCAGGAACAGGGAGGTGTCGTCGGATGGAGAACTCCGTGTTTAGTGGGGGAACTCAACACACGGAGAGGAGTTTGGAGTGCCACTGGACCACCTCAGCGTTTGCCGCACAGGGTGTATGGAACCGTGCAAAAGTGAGGTACCCTCCTGTCCACTAACATGGGACCCATACCAGAGGTCCACTTGTAAAAAGAAAATAGTTTTCCAGGACCCCTCAGTCACCTTCCACGTTCGTGTGCAGGGAGGGTAAACCAAAATCATGTTCAGAGAACTTCCCGTGCCCTGGTTGAACTACCAGCTGCCCGGGCAAACCCCCAGCCCACCCTTCCACCCGCCTGCGCTGGGGTCCAGGGGCTGAGCTCGCAGCAGAAGCGGCAGAGCGCGCACCAGGAGCTCGCCGCAGCTTTCGGCGAGTCGGACAGGCCGAAGCAGTCGCACTCGATGGCAGCCCACCACACCAAGGTGGAGCCTCAAAGGACTTTCATGCAGTTCTAGTGGGAAGCACAGGGATGGACCACCCCCTTGTTCAAACATGTTCAAACCACTAGTGCTTGAACTGGAATCTTTGTCGGACATACCTTTCTTGTTCTCAGCAGGGAATGGGGGAATGGCCCAGAACTAAACCATCCCTTGTTCCCACAGGGTGCTCTTACTTTTAAAGAGGGGCAGGATGTTTTGCAAGTTCGGGCCAGGTTGGTGCTGCAGTCCTTGTCAGGTGCTGTTTGGGGGGCGCTGAAGGTGCTATGCTGGTTGCTGGCAATGCCTGTTTTGCGATGCGGTGAAGGTGCTGCTGGCAGTCCTTGTTTTGCGCTGAAGTGAGGGGGCTGTTTTGGGTGCTGATCACTTTGATGTGCTCAAGGTACGGTGCGAGTTGCCTTTGGTGCTTGTTTGGGGATGCATTTCCCTTTTCCAGGGCCTCAACGGTTCAACCCCGAAAACCGCGACACTCATTGGGAAACGCGCAACGGCCCAAAAGGTACAAAAATAAAACCCTGGTAAAGGGAAACAACAACACCAAACAGTAGCTTTGCAGGGTTTCCGAGCCATTTCCCTTTTTGGAAAGCCACCAGTGACAGCTTCAATCACGGAAATTACCAACAAGTTGCAACCTTGTGGATCGCGCGACGCACGCGCGAAAACGCAACGAGCGAGGAGCAAATGAAGACGAAGCAGAAGAGCAGCGTCACCACCCCAAAGGTCCCCACGCATCGGATGTGCTGCGAAAGGGCCTGGCCATTGGGCCATGGTCTCTCGCTTCAATGGGGCCGAGAACGGGCCGTGTGTGGTGTTTACACCTACCTGGAGTCATGACCCGAAATAAAAAATAGGTCCATGACCCCATGATTTCGGGTCATGGACCTGTTTTTAAAGGCTCGTGGAGACTCCAGGCACCACTAAATGGTCTTCCTCAAGTGGGCAAAGTCCAGAAGCCGACAAAGTGAAGGGCCTTAGGCCCGGCTGCAAGCGACTCGGTCGGAAGGAAAGACAAAGGGAAACCCTTGCTGGTTGATGGATTGTTCCTGTGTTGTGAGACACCCTCGATAAAACAAATGACTTTAAGGGCCACAGAAGAGTGGGTTGAAGGAAATGACGGAGAACATTGGCAGGACATCAAACCAGAGGGTATGATGAAGCCACAATAGGAGCATGCCGAGCTGTGTTCTAGATTTCTGCCATGCCAGAGCAGGAACCCCCTCCCCACGTCTTTGTGTTTAACTAGGATACTCTTGAAATCGCAGAAAACGGACCAACACCGCCTTGGTTACGGTCTTTCGGCCCCATGGTTCCCTAAACCAAGCTTTGCAACCCACGCCCC